TCTGTACACACACTATACACACTCTGTACACACACTATACACACTCTGTACACACACTATACACACTCTGTACACACACTATACACACTCTGTACACACACTATACACACTCTGTACACACACTATACACACTCTGTACACACACTATACACACTATTTACACACACTATACCCACTCTGTACACACACTATACACACACACACACACTATACACACTCTGTACACACACTATACATACTCTGTACACACACTATACACACACACTATACATACTCTGTACACACACTATACACACTCAGTCTGTACACACACTATACACATTCTGTACACACACTATACACATTCTGTACATACTATACACACACTGTACATACCCTAGACACACACTCTGTACATACTATGCACAAACTATATACACACTCTGTACACACACTATACACACTCTGCACATACTATACACACACTATACACACTCTGTACATACTATACACACACTATACACACACTATATACACACTCTGTACATACTATACACACACTATACACACACTATACACACTATACACACTCTGTACATACTATACACACACTATACACACACTATACACACTCTGTACATACTATACACACACTATACACACTCTGTACACACACTATACACACTCTGTACACACACTATACACACTCTGTACACACTATACACACACTATATACACACTCTGTACACACAGTAAACTTTATGAGATATTTACATGAGTCGTGACCTGACTTCAGGAAAGGGTCAAAGTCACTTTTTGCAGCCTGAATGTAAAGCAGTTTTTCTCTATGACGGCAATACAGGAAATGCCATTTACATTTATGGCGCTGGGAGTTTGCCTCGTCTCTCCCATTATAATCTTACAAGGACTCCCATTGTTTCTTCCTCTTCAGGATGATCTTTTAAAGTTGATATAAAACCCGATCTGCGAAATCCCATCTCAGGCTGAACACGTTAATGTCATTTTAAAATAATCCCGGGTGACCCTACCATGAGGGTCCTTGTTCAGGCACTTCCTGTTTTAGGGTGACAACGCTTTGGCCCTGTCCCCCAATTGTCCTTTTGCATTGTCACCCTAGACTACAAACAGCTTCACTAACACACATTACACAGACATTGCCCGGCGTTGTCATCATCAGGAAACCCGGCCTGAGAAATGCCATCTCTGGGGTGCATGTAGACAGGAAGTGGCTGCATAGAGACTGCATGAGATCAGCATCACTGAGATGGAACAAAAAAAGGTGATTCACCGTCGGCCGATAGTCATGTAAGGGACCCGGGCGGGCCCCCCATGCCCCTTACATGAGTATCTGCCGTACCCCCCTGATGGCTGCCCTGGTCGGCCCTCATATGTATGTGAGATGGGGACCTTAGATTGTAAGCTCCCTGAAGGTAGGGACTGATGTACGCTATGTAAAGTGCTGTGTAAATTGTCGGCGCTCTATAAATACCTGAAATAAATAACAATTGTGCTCGGGGTCTTCTAGCTTTTCTCCTATTGAGAGCTGAGGAAAATGTTCCGTCTTTAAGAATCACGATGCCGATGCCGTTCTCTGCGCGCCGTCATCAATATTTGATCTCGGAGGCGGTGATAATATACGGCTCCTGCGTTCGCTCTCAATAAATATAATTTAGGGAAATGGTCTTCCATCTGTGTTTATCTTCCATCTGCCGGGAAGACTTCCGAAAAGGGCAAACAAAAGACTGTAATAGACCGGCTGTTTAAATTCCTCTTCAGGGTTCAATGTTTATAAACACAGCAAATGGGAAACGTTTGTTCATTGTGTGCGCGATCTGCAGGCTGCCGCGAGCCGGTCCGGCCCATGCCTGACGCCGGGCCTTTAAGCAGGTGCGCGCTCACCTCCAGGCAAGTTTGGTGCTTTATTTTACATTGTTAATATGATGGGCGGCGCTCAACCAAACAAAACAAATGCCTATAACACAACAAAAAAAGGAAAGCGCCTTCTCTTCCTGAGATGTATCAAATTTATTTTATAAATAATAACAAGATTAAAACTACTCGCGAATGGCGTTGATCATATAAGCGTGAATGTACTGGTATCCCGCATCCAAACATCACGTGTCACAGCAAAGAACCAATATACTGGCAGCAGATGTATAGCAGGGACCGGATCTGCTGGTTCCAATGACAAAACTGACACGTTTCTGGGGCGTACCCCCTTCATCAGAGCTACAACGGTAATCATGGTAGGGGAAGGGGGTACGCCCCAGAAACGTATCAGTTTTGTCATTGGAACCAGCAGATCCGGTCCATGCTTTACATCTGCTGCCAGTCTATTGGTTCTTTGCTGTGACACGTGATGTTTGGATGCGGGATACCAGTACATTCACGCTTATGTGTTACCTGCCGGCGGCCATCTTGGTGATGGAGGGGACGCCATCTTGGAGGGTCCCCTCCTCTCTTGAGCAACTGTCGGGCTTTCGGTCCTTGACTGAGTGTCCGGCTTTTCAGAGGTGGTGACACCAAAATTACTGTAAGTGTCACCAATGGTGTCACCCGGGTGCGGGCCACCCCCCCCTGCACCCCCCTTGTGACGCCACTGATACCAATTCAAATACAATACTCTCCCTTTCTCTCTCTCTCCCTTTCTCTCACTCTCCCTTTCTCTCGCTCTCTCCCTTTCTCTCTCCCTTTCTCTCGCTCTCTCTCTCTCCCTTTTTCTCTCCCTTTCTCTCGCTCTCTCTCCCTTTCTCTCTCTCTCTCCCTTTCTTGCTCTCTCTCCCTTTCTCTCTCTCTCTCCCTTTCTCTCTCTCTCTCTCTCTCTCTCTCTCTCATTCTCTCTCTCATCGGGTACACGGTGACTAATATAGCAGCATTAAACTACACTGTGTTCCCTCCTACCTATATATGTGGGGGTTCCCATGGGCCAGAGCAGGGGCCACAATGGACAGTCATGTGTAGCCATTCTGAATATATCAGAATACACAATATTGAAATATTAGAAACGATCTTCGTGTTGCCGGCCGGCGGGTCTCAGCGTTGGGAGACTTTTGTGCTTTTTATCTTCTGATGTACTACACCTCACTGGTGCGCAGGCCAGCCTTTCTCAGTTGGGGTGCCTGTTGCCTTCCTTAGGAATGGTTTCACATTTTAGCACATCATCATGCCTCTCTATGGTGCCGACAGGCTTCTGATGTAAAAGGGGGCTCCCGATGTGGAGGGGGGGGCTTGTGATTTGAAGGGGAACTCTGATGTTAATGTGGGGCTCCTTGTGTGAGAGGGTGGACCCCAAAGTGAAAGGAGAGGACTCTGATGTGAAGGGGTCTCCATGTGTGAGAAGGAAGGAAGGGGCTCCCAATGTAAAGGGGGGGGCTCTGATGTTAAAAGGGGCTCCTCAGGTGAGAGGGTGGACTCTGATGTGAAAGGAGGGGGCTCCTGATGTGAAGAGGGCACCTAATGAAAAGGGGGGGCACCTAAGGTTAAAGTGGCCCCTGATGTGACGAGGGTCTCCAAATGTGAGAAGGGAGAAGACTGATGTGAAAGGAAGGGGCTCCCGATGTAAAGGGGGGCTCTTATGTAAAAGGAAAAGTGGGGGGGTACATGCCAGTGGAGGTACCTTTGCCCAGGTTGCAAGCTCAGCCCCCATTGAGTGTTCACCATGTTGGGTGAGTTTCGGCAGTCTCTCTCTCTCTCCCCCCTCCCCGCTTTTCAGAACTATTGTAATTTTGTCTTTTTCTGACTCTGCATACTATCTCTCCTTTCCCGGTCTTCCAGAAGTGATAGTCTGCACCGAGACCTGACATCCGATGGCAGTTGAATGACCTGGTTACATGTTCTGGTCAAGTCTCTTCTTTCTAAGTGCAGTGTATTTCTGTCTCATTGATGGAAGGGAGTTCTCTCTGCGCTCTCCTCTGCGCTCTGTTCTGGGTCACTATTGCATTTTCACCTTTATAAACATTCCGGGCGAGATGTACTAAGGTCGGTGTTCCTGCCGGCAGTGTGTCAGGGATGGAGTTTGCCCCCAGTGATGGGTTAGCAGTTGGGCTGATGGGAGCGGAGGGTTGGAATGCACAGCGTTAGGTGGGGTGGAATCCTGCATGTGTTTCGCAGCAGCAGCTGCAGTCGCCTCTCACACAGAGCAGAGTCCACGACACAAGGCAGCAGCCAGGATTACCTCCTCGCCGGAGAGACCCAATACACCGCGCACCCTCCGCCATTGTCCCCCCCGCCACCCATCCGGTGATCCGCGGCAAGGAGAGCGAGCTGAGTAACGAGGAATCGAAGGAGCGAGAGCCGGGGTCATGGTGAAAGACAAACCAGGTAACTGGATTCCGGCATTCTGTATGCGCTCATTCCTCCTGCCTGTTCTCTGTGCAAACTGTCACTCAGCTTAGTGAATGAGGCGAAGCCGTGCCGACTTCTATCATCCAATCATGTGCAAGCAAACAAGTTCTCTTTATTCCATTTTCCTTCCACGTGTCCCACAAACCTGCGTCCTTCAGGATGAACATTGAAGGAACTTACATAGTTACATGCAGTGAGGTTACATAGTTACATGCAGTGAGGTTACTTAGTTACATGCAGTGAGGTTACATAGTTACATGCAGTGAGGTTACTTAGTTACATGCAGTGAGGTTACTTAGTTACATGCAGTGAGGTTACATAGTTACATGCAGTGAGGTTACTTAGTTACATGCAGTGAGGTTACATAGTTACATGCAGAGGTTACATAGTTACATGCAGTGAGGTTACTTAGTTACATACAGTGAGGTTACATAGTTGCATACAGTGAGGTTACATACAGTGAGGTTACATAGTTACATGCAGTGAGGTTACATAGTTACAATCAGTGAGGTTACATAGTTACATGCAATGAAGTTACATAGTTACAATCAGTGAGGTTACATAGTTACATGCAGTGAGGTTACATAGTTACATGCAGTGAGGTTACATACAGTGAAGTTGCATAGTTACATACAGTGAAGTTGCATAGTTACATGCAGTGAAGTTGCATAGTTGCATGCAGTGAGGTTACATGCAGTGAAGTTGCATAGTTACATACAGTGAGGTTACATAGTTACATGCAGTGAAGTTGCATAGTTGCATGCAGTGAGGTTACATGCAGTGAGGTTACATAGTTACATACAGTGAGGTTACATAGTTACATGCAGTGAAGTTGCATAGATACATGCAGTGAGGTTACATAGTTACATGCAGTGAAAACACATAGTCATGTTGAAAAAAGTTCACCAAGTTCAGCCTACAGACACACGCAGCTGTTTTTAGTGTCGTTGGAATCCCTCTCTGGATGATATTTAGTTTATTGTATATCATAAATATTTGCCATTTTTTTTCTTATTTTATAACATTCTACTTCCTGTCTGCGTGCGCTTGCTGCAGCATCCTCTGCATATCATTGCTCTGGAGGGGCCTCCTGACAGTGACAACAGTGGACCATGTCTGTGCAGTGTATGTTAGCATGATGGCTTGTAGATTCCAGGGGCGGCAGGTGACAGGGTGACAACGCAGGAGAACAATTCTGGATATGTGAATGGAGCGTTGTCACCCTTTAATGGGAAGTGACTGAACAAGAGCTTTCATGGTAGAATCACCAGGGATTATTTTCAGAAAAGCCAAAGATTGAAAACAACTATTGAAATGGCATCAGCATGTATTATAGATATAAACCCGAACTGAATGACATTTGTTTTGCTTTGTGTGCTGCATATAAAAATCATTTTTTTGTTACTAAATTACCTTTTTTTTTTTCAATTTTTGTTATTTTTTTGTTGCGTCTAAGTTCTGCTGATCTCCTGCAGTCTCTTTCTTGTCTACATGCACTTTAGCGATGGCTGCATGGCATTTCTCAGAGGCGGGTTACCAAATGGTGACAACAGTGTAGTTATCATCATCTGGGGGAGGCCTTGGGAGAGTTTTGATAGGGTGACAACGTAAGAGGACAATTGGGGGGCAGGGACAGAGGGACACACTGATACTTGGGGGCCCAGAACAATGACACACTGACACTTGGGGCCCAGAACAATGACACACTGACACTTGGGGGCCCAGAACAATGACACACTGACACTTGGGGGTCCAGAACAATGACACACTGACACTTGGGGGCCCCAGAACAATGACACACTGACACTTGGGGGCCCCAGAACAATGACACACTGACACTTGGGGTCCCAGAACAATGACACACTGACACTTGGGGGCCCCAGAACAATGACACACTGACACTTGCCAGGTGAGGAGACATAAATGATACATTGTGATCAATATTTCTTTGTAATAATAATAATATAAAGTCACGGAATGTTGTGTTTTGGGGGTTCCCTGTGTGACGGGAGATATCTCTGCGGGAACTCATGTTACCACCAACTGGGATCACACATGTCGGTGGCGGGCCCCGTTCTCTGTGGCCCCGCTCCATGTGTCACACATGCTGCACATACATGAGATGTATTGTGTGTCCAGTATGTCAGGAATGTCTCTATCTCTCTGGGGGCCCCAACGTGACACATCCCAGGCCAGGCAATGGCAGCGATGACAGCTATGCCGGAACTCGGCACATTGTATTTCGGTCTCTCGTCATTCTCATCTTTTCTTATTTTTATATCTTTTTGTAGATTGTTTGTTTTGGTGAATCGGAGTCTGTTGGGAAGATTTCCTGTCGCTTCCCGTGTAGTCACTAGGACAGGAAGACAGAGGAATCACCCCCAACAGACCTAAAACTAGTTTGTAACTCTTTTCCTCTTCTTTGAGAGAACATTTGTGGCCGGATTTTGGGCCTGAACACGTCTTCATAATATTGATGTGTCGGCTCCGCTGTGCAGAGCTGAAGGTGTATGAAAAAATGCTGCTTTGATACTTTGTTGCAAGCATGCACGATTACATCATTGCACACGCACGGCAGTCTTCTGATGCCTGCTGGCGGCCATCTTGGTGATGGACGCCGTCAGAGAGAGGAGGGGACAGTCACCCGGCGGGATAAGGTATGCCGCCGGGTCCCCTCCTCTCTCCTGATACTGTCGGGTGTTCGGTCCATGACCGAGAACCCGACTTTTAAGAGGGGGGTGACACCAAAATGACTGTAAGCCATTTTGGTGTCACCCCTCCAATGGTGTCACCACTGGATGCATTGATACCAGTTTTGCAAGTACGAGTACGGATACATTTTTATTTATTGTCATGTGACAGTTGTTCCAAAACAATACAGAACAATGATTTCAGGACAGTGGTGGAGCGCCAGAGCCCGGTCTCAGCTGCAACCGCTGCAAACGTTGCAACCCTGGTAGTTCTCAGGAAAATGCCAAGTATCGGCACTGGTATCGGCACTGGTATCTGAAAAGTATCGGTGCATCCCTATTGCAAGGCATGGTGAGATTTGTAGTTCCACAGCAGCTGACATGTCACAGGTGCCACACTCTGTATTGTATGAGCTGGGATTGGGAAGACACGTGGAGGCAGTGGCGGAACTACCAGGGTCGCAGAGGTCGCGGCCGCGACCGGGCCCTGGAGTTCGGCCACTTGGAGGGGGCCCAGGACAGGAGGAAGGGGCCACTGGTGACCGCTGATTACCAGTCCCGGGACCTCTTCCTCCCGTCCTGGGCCCTACATGCTTCACGCTGCTCCCCTCATCTTGTTCCGGGCGCAGCGTGAAGCATCATCCAGCCGTGGGGGTGCCTTCATGGGATTCTTGCATGGGGCCCTGAGGTCACTAGTTACGCCACTGCGTGGAGGACACGTGGGCTCTGACATTTACCTGGCAGGCTCAGGGCCGGGCTGGGCCTGGTATCTCTCTGGACTATAGGGCAGTGTGTTGGGTGATTGATGCGTGAAGCATTCCCTGATATGAGATAACATTCCAGCTCCATTACTGGCGCTGTGTGAGAAGTGGGCGCGCTCGCCCGCCGTATCTCGCGTGCCTCTCGCAGGATACACCTTTGCTCTCTGACACGTGATAATCTTTGCCGATAACACGGAAAACATTTTTCTCTCTGTCATTGATCAGCCAATCACAACGTATCTGGCTATAAGACGGTTCTTCCGCATTTCCTCCTGTTATCCGTGTCATAGTTTCAAAGCTGAAGCCCCTCCCCCATTATCAACATGCTGATAACATTTTGAAATAAAATCTTTCCGTTTTCAGTACATATTTTATATCCTGTGATGTCATCGCTGGGTCTCTGCACTTCTCTGTGCAATGCAGGCAGATCATAGCTGGTGGGAGGAGAAAACATCACAGCACCCAGCCTCAGTACTGCTCTCAAGAGCCCTCAGCCCTGATCAGAGCCGTAGCTCGCTCCTTTTGCGCCCGAGGCAAGAACAGAAAATTGTGCCCCCCCAACAGACGTGTTATGTCACCCTGTGCCACGCACGCACTGCGTCATGTGACGTCATGCGCCCCGCCTCCAGGATGGCGGCACCAAATAGCATAAAAATTTGTTTCATTTGACGAAACTAATGAAAATATTTATAGTTTCAGTTCATTTAGTCTTTGAACATGTCTAATATTGTGTGCGTGTGTGTGGTGGGGGGCGTTTTCTGGGGGCTTCGAGGAAATGTCAGGAGTCTAAACAGACCTCTGACATTTCTCTTTTGAAATAGAAAAAGAGATTGAGGACACAGAGTCCTCTGCCCATTCAGCGGGGAATGCGAGGAGAAGCTGTGTTGGACGTCTGGTGCCCCTGTTGTGGCCCTGGCTACGCCCCCTCTCAGCTGCGCCTGAGGCAAGTGCCTCACTCTCTCCATGGTAGCTACAGCCCTGCTTGGGCGGGACACCAGTGATGTGGTACAAGCGTCAATAACCTATTCCAGTGGAATCCGGTGGACAGTTATCTTTCTTCTGTTTGTATAGGCTCATATTGGAGCAAGGACATGCTCCCCGCAGCGGGCACCCGGATTATTCCTTTCCTGAGCCATGAAGGAGGGGTGTTTCTTTGTGTGCTCTTCTGACTATGTTACTTTGTACTTCTTTTGTTTCATTCAAAGGAGTGACCTTTAAACTGCATATAATGTCAGTTTAGGACACGTGGGCTCTGACATTTACCTGGCAGGCTCAGGGCCGGGCTGGGCCTGGTATCTCTCTGGACTATAGGGCAGTGTGTTGGGTGATTGATGCGTGAAGCATTCCCTGATATGAGATAACATTCCAGCTCCATTACTGGCGCTGTGTGAGAAGTGGGCGCGCTCGCCCGCCGTATCTCGCGTGCCTCTCGCAGGATACACCTTTGCTCTCTGACACGTGATAATCTTTGCCGATAACACGGAAAACATTTTTCTCTCTGTCATTGATCAGCCAATCACAACGT